ATCGGATGCTCTAGGATTTCTTCAACATCCTTTATTGTCTTTTGACAGCTAAGAACTTATTTGATACAATGAAATTCGATATCTGCAATTGTTGTCTATTTCACTGTCATCAATATTGGAAATACATTCTCAACCTAATCTAATAAACAGAGAAGTCTTGATTCTACAAAGAATGCCAGATTAATGTAAATTCCTGAAACGTACACGTTCAATATGTTTGTATCGATTAAGCTTCTATAATCTGCACAATATTTGTTAACATCGTTTTCAACTGATGAAGTAGACGAAATAACGTTTAGGTGGACAAAAATCTCTACCACTTTGAACTCTTCTTCAAATTATACATACCCTATATACACACTAGCTTGCATTGAAATAAATATCTTAATCGCCTGTACACACTTGATATAACAGAAAAGAAAAGTATTGGTTAAAAAATACGACCTATGAAAAGAACACGACAAAAAATAGGAAAGAATATGATAAAGTATAGATGGCTTCAATAGATTTCATCATTATGCGTGCTACAGTCATCTGCTGAAGCTATCTATATTTTATCATCCGTTTCTTTTTCTCCCATTGTGCTTATTTCTTTTATCGTTTTTTTTTAACAAGGATGCTTTTTTTCTGCTCTCTCATGTGTATAAAGCGAACAAGTACAAACGTTAATCATCCTTCATCAACATTATTTGCAGCTTAATGAATAAAATGTGATAATTATGAAAGAGAAATGTAAGGTATGTTGAGACTCTTAAATTATTTCTTTTCACTTTGGCATTATCGTTCAACAAGATTTTCGTAAGATCATTTTCAAAGAGAGGATTTGAAAAGACAGTTTATCAGATATGTATTCATTCTCATAAATGTTGTATTCGTTAATACCTTATTTGTTTCGTTTCTTACGAAAAAGAATGTTTTATTTTTTCTTAGTTTGATGTGATGATTCGAACAATGTAGAAAATCACTTTCGATGTAAACAACTTCGGAGAAAAATGAACACTCTCATGACTTTCATTGGTCCGAGGCATAACTAATTGATGAAAATCAGATAATTATGGCTTTTGGGGATTAAATTGAAGATTTAAGTCGACTTTTTTGCAAATTCGATTCGAAATCAATACTTTTGCATTGCTTTGTATCGCTTTTTATTAATCGATTCCAATAGATGCTGCAGAGTGATCAAGTTTTATCAGTAGTTCATGATTTTATTTTTCTCTATAACTACTGGTAATATTTATAATCGACTAGGTTGTTGAAAAGTTAAGAAGCATTTATCTAAAATTTTTTATAATCAAGCAATACTGATTTGAATAGGCGATAGTTGAAGGCTCGTGTGGAAAAGGTTAAGCGGAAATCTACAGATACATGATTTTTATCAATTTCAAGCGTAATTGATCGGTGAAAATGTAGTAGTTAAGATTTTTGTTTCGCTGATTGTCCTACTCTAGCCGACTCAGATGTAGCATACATTTGCAAAAGTGGTGCGAACAACTGGTTGAAGACTTCACACTGCATGTTAGTAAAATATTGGTACCGATTTAGATCAGTTTCGATTCTACCAGAATAAACAAAAAGCAGATATTATATGTGTAATAAAAGACGTAGAGTTTCAAATAAAAAGGAACAATAATTATTCTTCTCACTTTTTCTTGACTTAGAAGTTCAGACAATAACAACATTATTGATATGATAGGACCTTTTTACATGATTTTATCGGAGAGATCTTTGTTCTCCTTGTAAGTGATTGGGACTTGTAGGTTAATCATATTTCTAGCTTAATCAAGAAGTAACACATAAGTGCACTTAAATTATGAACATCTTTTGTATATACTATTTTTCAAGCATAAAGTTCATTGATTTTTACTAATTTGTTAACAAATTTTAACAAAACATCGAAATTAGGAAATGTGGTATTCATTTTATAGGAACCCCAGTCGAACAAGCACGGTCGTAAACGATCGTATATGGAGAAATACGACCAAATACATGGCTCAGTATTACGATCGTAAACCTCCGTGCCATATACGAACTAATACAGCAATATACGGAGAAAAATACGGTCGTTTACGATTTTTGTATACGCAGTCCGTAAACGATCGTATCCCAGCGTATATGGTCATGGCGCTATACGATCATAATACTGAGCCATGTATTACGGTAAAATACGACCGTAAACGATGGTATCGAGGTCCTATACGAAATTCGTAATCGTCGACCAGGGAAATGTCAACAAAACCTTGGATACTGATTATTTTCAAATGCAGCCTAGTATATAACAAAACAACTCTATGCAAATAATTCTAAAGTATCTACGACTATGTTTTAAATACCTTGAAATCGGATACCTCAATCATGGTACGTCAAAGGCAGCTAAAATTCCAAATTTGTAAATTTGAGAGTAAACGAATTACTTCGACTAAAACGTGCCTGATCTTATTAATTCACAATACAAACACATCAATTTCAAGAGCAAAAGTGTAAAAATATAGGTCTTAGGATACAATTATAAGGATATAGTTATAACAATAATGTTAAGCGCATAGGTCTAATGGTCTACTTTTAATGATATAGCCGTGAGAGGAACAGTAAGAATATAGCTATAAAGGCGTAGGTCTAAGGGTATAGGTGTAAAGGCTGTAGAAAAATAAGTATAGGTATTAGTATGTAGTTCGTAGGATACAATCATTATACCATATGGAAAGCGTAGATGAATTTGCAATGATTACAGTGAGTTCTATTCAATTACTCATTAGATTAAGGATCCATTAAAACCAAGCTCAATCGATTTTAATCAATAGATTATAACAGAATAACTTGCTCTGATTATCAAAGATTACGAATAGTTTTAATCGACTTCTAATCGATTTTAATCTGATTTTTCTCATACTCTTTTTTTACATGGGAAGCAAGTCTATACTCTCTTAGATCTAAACAAGTTATTGTAACTTTCTATACAAAAATTTATATATAATCCTTTTTCTTCTAGCTTTTTCTCTCATCAAACATATTGACTCTCTATTCAGTTGAATTCCATGACGAATAAACAACCAATCATGTAAGTATCGAAGCAAACCAATCGTTAACATCATGTTAATAGTATATGTTAACAGTTTCTTCATTAGTAATCATCCAAAATATTTTATTTATATTTTCATTTAGATTGACTTTTCTTAGTTTCCTGAACTAGTTGATAATCATACATTCAGCGAAATGTGTCCATGCACACAAACTGCGTTGGCTCATCATGCACAAATCCAAAAGTGACATTCATTTCTTTGGTGTGCTTCAAGTCGTTTCTCTGTCAGTTCGTTACATTGTTCCTTCATTATTTCCTTGTTTCATTTGATTTGTAATCCCTTCATTTGTAGCTTCGGTGGTTCATTATTTCGCTACTCCATAAATTCATTACTTGATTTAGCTCTTCAGTTCTCTATTAACACATTCACTTTCGTTCTTATAATTTTCAATATGTGTGAGGTCTGTGTGTTGCTGTGAAAGTGATTGTGGTTGCAAGAACGGCCGAAGATAGATAGAACACATTTATACTTAGACACACATTCATACTCGCACCCACGGACCTACAACTTCCTTGCTCCTATCCTCTATTAGATGATATATCGTATATGCTCTCACTGTAAATAATAAAACGTGAAAGGTCGCAGAATAACGAATGAACCATGTATAAAGATGCCCTTGAGATTTGTGTGTTATACTTCACCGTTGTTCTGTCACAACTTGTGACAAACAGTGAGGTCAACTTTGAGCTGTGGAATACTACTGTCACGGACGATGAATCGCTCTGATCTTTTCAGTTCCATTGTTTGAAATCGACTATCTACTCTAAGCCGACATAGAATCGATACAATCCTGAAAGCGTGAAAGCACTAATGTGTGATCCGTGATTGCTTTTTAAAAGTTAATGTTAAGATCTGGGAATAGTGTGCTATCACCATGATGGAAGGAGTAGCCAATGCTTCGTTCAACTGTTTGAGATCGACTTAACACTTTGAAGTCACGATCGAACAACATTTCAATGACAGCTCAACTCCACTGTGGGCAGATTCGTGGTGAACTTTGATTGATTAGCCTGAAACTTTGTCATTGCCCTTTTTTCACGAAAATGGAGTCACAAATAGATGGATGAATGTTTCTACTTCACCTGCCCATACTTCTATCCATCTTGAAATAGAGAAGTGTCACATCAAATAAAGTAGCAACGTAAATTACTGATTACAGTCCATACTTGTTCCCCCATTCTGAGCTTGCTTTAAAAAGAGAGCGAATCATATGGGACTCCTCATAACTTTTGTGGACATTTTTTTCTCGAATGTCTACTGTGTTTGTACTTGTTCTATTGATAATAATTGTTTGAAAAGAAAGTTTTGTTTTTGTCTGGAAAAAATTTATTTCTGTACTATTACCTCTAATTTTGTATGTTAATATACTTTATAGATTATTGGATTAGGTTATTGCACTATTTTAGCATAATCGGAGTCATGCCCAAAATTATATTTCGAGGCATATTCAGATGTAGATCATTTATAATAATTATGATCGTTCTTTTTCCTTTCTTCTTGTTGGATCTATATCGTTCACCTCAATACAATGTCCACGATCTTCGTAATCTTATTTATATTGGTAGTCCCCCTTCAACCGAGACTCAATGCGTTAATGAGATTCCTGTCATCCAATCTAATTTATCGGCATACGCTGTGTGTAAATCTCAAGTATCACATCCTTTTGTATGTACAAGACTTGCTGAAGGAAGAATCTATATCACTAAAAATCCTGAGAACGTCGACTGGGGTCCTTTTGTATCAGACAATTGGGGAAACACACTATCGCCTTACTGGCAAGCTCGAGGTGTAGCTTTTCTGATGGGAAGTTCATTTTCATTTAGGGGATGGAATACTCCTACGTGGATTGGCTTTCTTCCTGTATCGGTCGTGCCTGTATCTTCGAACTCATGTGTCAAGGCTTACCCTGAACTATTTCTTCGCATGTGTAATGATCCTGGGCCAGACTGTTACATGGAATATGCACATAAATGTGTCGGAGCATGGAATTATATTCGGAATCAAATACTAGAAGACACTAGATCAGCATTGGCACGTTGGGCTCAATTAAACAATGAAACAATACCTAGTTTTACTCCTTCCGAGATGGTGATGTACGATCGCTGTTCAGAAGGTAATACTCTTCGTCATCCTGAATATGGACCTGTGGCTTTTAGTACATTTAAGTGCATTCCAAAAACAGTAACAGTTTTATATCATGTGTACGACGAAGCGCAAACCACCTTCTTTTGTGATGCTCTACGTAGAGAACAAACAAAATATCTAAAAAGTATACGTCCAGATATAACTGTTATTCAATCACGAGGTAGTGCATGGCAAGACTTTGCTAAACTCGTCTATGCTCCCTATGTATTAATTATTTCTGCTGGATCAACGTTTGCGCTGTGGGCCACTTTGGCCAACGTCGGGCATGTATGGATTCCACCACTATATGGCGGAATGACACCAGATGTTGGAAGCAACTATCATTGGATTAGTACACCAATATTATATCCTTCTATTGGAAAGAAATTAAACTTCACAGAACCGAGAAACACACGTGATGCTGAGAAGCTTATTGAGTGGCTGAGAAACGCATGATTGAGATGCTCAAGTTAGCTTTGGTTTTATTATTGTACTTTTTCAACTTTAAACCTTTATTATAATACTTTGAACTTGAAAACTTTTCTGAATACTTCTTTGAATTACAAAGCTTAGAAATTTGAATCAAGAAATATAATATTTTCATAAATACTAGAAAACTTTCGAACTTTTTCTTTACGTTTAGTAGTATTTTCTTTCTTCTTTGTCTTGGCATTCATAGAACAAGACAATAGCAAAAGCTTTCAAAGTAATCACTGGCCGAAAAACTTAAATGTTTATCTAAGTGTAACTCTTCATGATGACTTTGATAGTATGACATTGTTTTACATGAACATCCTTGTGCTTGTATGTGGATTAGTTGCATTCTCTATTGCTATTGGATTGAATCAAATTCAAGAGTAGCCCTTACGAAAACCTAGAATTATGAAAAACTACTTAGAATAATCCAAAGATAGTGGTAGAGTCATTTTATTCCATTATGAAAGGCGTAAATAAGTTTTCTTTCTAATTTAGTCTACTAGGTGAAAACAGTGCTCTATTTTTCTATGGTGTTTTATTATTCTTCAACCAATATCATAATAATAAAATTTTGATAATATCTGATTGCTATGATATATAAAAGTAATAGTAAATCACATATTGTCTTCGATGTGTATTATCTAAGCAGTCCTGCATTATGTCTCATTCGATGATCTCTCATTTAGATTTAATTACTATATAAGATAATTAGTTTAGCGTTCACACCATGTCAAACTTTAGTGTCATTGTTTTTCTGATTCTCTGTCGCGGTGAATATAAGGCAATTGATTACAGAGAACGTCACAGGACGCAGGACTATTCCTGCAGACAGGCTATTTTGTCCTGCATGTGCAAGGGGAGGATGATGTTTTTTTGATGTAGGACGAGAATCTCGAAGTAATTCCAGCAGCAATTTGCTCAGGATACGTACATGTGTTCTTCTACGTGTTCTGACTGCCTTTTGAAATATTCTATGGAGTCTCTGAGTATGATTTACAGCATCTCGTGCCACTAATTCACAAATAGCAAAATGCTGTTTTTTTTCCATAGGTAAGAGACAGCTCTTGTAGAAATTTCGTTACCAATTCATCCAGAACCTGTTCGAGAGCTTCTGTCTCATGTTTCAACTAGTATTTAACAAACTACATCTATATAGTAATAGGAAGAAAAAGGCCTGGATCATATCGTGGACTACGAGATGCGTCAATTATTTTATGGGTTTTCTGTTGCCTGTGATAAAATACCAACATTTCGTATTTTGTGAAACGATAGTGAGAAATATTATAAGTGTGTTTTCATAATTCGATAATGCATCTCCAAATCTACTTGGAACACAAATGAAAACACCTGAAACGCATTCTAGACGAATATTTTAAAAGTTATGCAAAACGACATATATAGTCGAAGATTATTTTGTTAACTTTTATCTATTTTATGATTTCTTGACTTTTGCTTCATATTATTTTATTAGTATTCTTAGGGACGGCAAAGTGTTTAGGCTCAGCTTTACCACAATTGGAATTCTCAAATACTTTATTAGCGAGGAGAATCCTATTTAAGGATAGAGATTGAAGGTTTTTGCATATACATATCTGTTTGTAGGCGGCAGAACGTATAAGTTGAGCAAGGCCTTAGCCTCACCCAAAATTGGCACTAATAGACTCAGCCTCACCCTCATTATGAATTTGAGACATGGTCGTACGCAAACTTAGGTTAATTTGATAAAGCAAATCTTGATTTAGTGCGAAGATTCAAACCTGTAATACGTTTATTTATATGTTATGATGAAGAAAATTAGAGGAATCAGACAACAGTAAACTCACTAAATCTGTCGTCATAATTCATATTGATACCTTCTGTCTGATCTAGGTAAAGTCGTGTGTGAGCCAAACGAATCGTAGAATAATATGATCGAAAACACTAAAACTAGTTATATCCGAAGTTCTACCTTTTCATTTTGTGACAAAGTCATTCCCTCTATTTTATTGAGGAAAATACACTCTAAATAATAATATACAACTTCAGTAAAAATATTAACTAAATATAGTCTGAAAAACGTTTATTTTCATACTTATCTGAGTATCTAGCTTTCATATTTTTTGGTTATATGTGGTGTAATGGTCGTCTCAGTGTGGTAGAAGGCTATTGTATGATATTCCAAATCAAGGCCTGAGGACGTAGGTGAGTGTAAATTTTGGTATGGATGCCACTATGGGTCATCTGCTGATCAATAGCCGGATCTATTGGCGCAATCGGTAGAATTTTCTTCTTAACAGTACTGGTACTAGTCTAAACCGTTCAGACTAGAACTGACTAGCCGATAGACAGCCACGAATCATTGTTCATTTTTCACGTCCTGCAAGAACCAAATCAACCTCTCGATTAGTTATACTTACGTCTGAATCACTACAGAAATTACGTAAGTCTTCTGTTTTGCTACTATAGTACTTTTAGGGCCAGACAGACCGATATAAAATGAACTTAAACTAATTCGCTCTGATACATGTTGGTGTCGGGATTGACCTAGCTAAGAAGCTGTAGATGATAGCTTTGACATACCTACGTAGTTTGCTAAAAGTGGTCAGAATTGCCGAAACTCGATGACTTCGAAGGCTGGCTGAAAATTTCTTGCTAAAAACTATTGGATTCGAGATAATCGAGCGATTCTTTAAGAGCTGATAAGCAAAAAAAAGAACAAAACACTGAAGCTGCAACAATTTCAAAACATTTCGCCACCCTTGTAATGTATTTGTGTATCTTCCTGACGAATTCGTACATAAGGTTGCAACTATAGTTGTTGAGGTTTGTATGAGTGTGCGCTGAATGAACACACCCAAGCGTTGATACACTCACACATTTCTAAGAAATGTCCACTATACTTTATATTATATGTTCTGATATGATTACATTAGATTAAATATAAAGTATCAGTGATTTTTACGTTTTCCCCAGTATATGTAGATTTTTAAAGTCATTACATGTTTGATTCCTTTCACTTCAAGAATATGCACAACAGTATCATAAGTGTTATCCTTTCTTTTTTGGCAAATAAAATCACTTAATCATTCAGTTTTAAAATTAATTTCATTCACTAAATATATCAATTCAAGAGTTTATATTATCGATTATGATTCTTTTCTTTTTTATTTTAAGAAAATCAGAAAAAATAAAAATAAATATTCAAACAATCACAAAGAAATATTTGTAGATATTTTGCCATTAAAAACAACATTTATTCATGAAATCATTCATTGTAAAATATCATTAACTTGTTTACCAAATGATAAAAATATTTGTTCAAGTGTTGTTTGTGATATTGTATATGTTTCAATATTTAAATGTTGTTTATTTTGTTCAAGTAATTCAAATAAATCAGCTGGTATACTTTGTTTAACTTGAAATATACCTGTTGAATATGTTATTTCTCTTATTTCAACATTTAATTGTCTTTGTAATAATAAAAATGATTGAACATTTTGAATAGTTGTTGTATTGATATCATCAGATGTTGTACGAACTTTTATTTCAATTGTATAACCTTGACCAAATTTGGATTTTAAATGTTGAATTGTACCCAAACAAGCTAATTGACCATTAAACATAATACCAAGACGATTACATATACGTTCACTATAGAAATAATATAAATTAAGAAAATAATTTATCAAATGAATTGTTTATTTATTACCATTCATCCATTGAATGACTTGTTAATATAATTGTTAATTTGGATTTGACAGCATTAAGAAATATTTCTTGCATTTGTTGTCGAGCATTTGGATCAACGCCAGTTGTTGGTTCATCAAGAATAACAACTAATGGTGGTCCTAAAAAAAATAATTGAAATAAGTAATTATATTCTATCATAAAATAGAATTTATTATTATTATTATTTTTACCAATTAATGCAAGTGCAGCATGTAATCGTCGTTTAGTTCCTCCACTTAATTGATGAATATAATTATTAAGAAATGGATCAAGTAAAAATAATGAACTAATAGTTTGAACAACTAAATGTATACGTGAAAAAGTTACACCACGTATACGTGCTAATAAATATAAACCATCTTGAACAGTTAAAAAGTCCATACTACAGTTTTGTTGTGGACAATAACCTAATTGACGTATAGATCTTAAACGACGATGAATATTTTGTCCATCAATATAAGCAGTGCCTTGTGTTGCTAATTCATCACCAACAAGTATACGAAATGTTGTTGTTTTACCTGCACCCTATGTGAATAAACTATATAGTTAAATTATCTATAAGAAATAAGAAAAGAAACAGTTTGTTTTTGTATGACTTACATTATAACCAAGTAAACCAAATGCTTCACCACGTTTAGCACCAAATGTTAAATGATTAACAGCGAAAGTATTACGTCCTGGAAAACGTTTAACAAGATCATGAACTGCTAAATGATCTGTTTCGTGTTCCTCTTCATGGTTGTCTGTATTTAAAAGACTTTTACTTGTTGCTGAATAATTTAAATTTAAAACTCGATGACGCTCTTCTAAAACATCATTATCTAGCATATTTTCGTCACACTGTAAAGGATGTGTTAAAAATGAAAATGAAAATGAAAATTTTAATAATCCACTATCCATAGCAATTAATACTAATAATAAAATAAGAATATGTAAAATAAGAATCACCCAATTCAATCCAATTGTGTCATTGCCAATGGATTTAAAAAATGAGAAATCAATATTAATAAGTACTTGACAAAATTTACTTTGTTGTGCTAACATATATGTTATTAAAACTTGTGCATTTATACTTGGTGAAATAATATTAAATAACCAATAGATCAATTTTTGAACAAATGTATTATTAACTAATGACATAACTACTGGTACAATAATACTAATCATATGAAGAATAATTAGTATAAATAATACTGATAATCCGCACTATATAAAATAATTCAAATAAAAAAAGACAAACTTATGATCAAGAAATGAAAAAAAATATGTACATACAAGAAGATCACTTTTGAAAATTTTTGTTATGAGATATGCAAATGGTAATGTTGGTAATACAATTATTATTGTTAATGGATAAAATTGTACTCGTAAATCCCATGAACTAGCAAATTCAATTGGTATTATAGTTGTTGATGCAGTTCGACTACTTGGTAAACCATTAAAAGCGACATCAAATATACAATACATAGCAAGTAAATAACAAAACCAAATAACACAAGTAAGAATATCGAATAGATAATTAAAAAGCCAATAGAATGCTGGACTAAAATATCAATTTTATATAAATAATTTAGTTTTTATTGTTTGAAGATGAAATGTAAAATAAATTAATATGTTAAAGAAAAATTAGAATGAGCAAGTGAACATTGTTTTTCATACTAATACTCCAAGGTATGTTGTGAAAAATGATTTAAAAAGAACCTTGAAATATGAGACTAGAATTGTGGATTCCACTACACTTTCCGTGACTAAACAGACTACTTAGCAGTAGCTCATCACAAACTATGAGAAACATACTGTCGACAGCGAAGAGTATTTCAAGATTATGATAAAAGACAATTGAATTGAAGATATGTGTCTTTAACTGTTTCCAAACTCACTGTAATATATTGCGACTAAAATTCAACAATTGACCTATTCAGTTCTGGACAAAAAAGAGATTGCTCCTCATGAAATATTACTTTTCTTGATGATACTAAGTCATCTCCTTTGTGAAAAAAATATTCAACAGAGATGCGCACTCAAACAGTTTTCTTCGTCATTGTGATGTCTATATGTTGTTGAGTTCTCTAATTACGTCATACGTATGTTTATCATATTTCTCATTTTAAGCTCATAGGGTTCACTATATTATCCTCTTTGTCTGTGTTGTTAAGTGCTAGCTAATTGTAGATTTAAAAAACTCGATATCGAAGTGGAACTGTTTGCCTTCTAAGCCATACATGTATCGATAAGTATATTGATTCAAGTATTGCTTATTCAGTTTTTCTGTAACATTCTTCTGACACTATATAAAGATATATTCTTATAGAATATCCTGAGAGTAAAGTTTTTCACACTTCAAAAAAAGTATTTTTATTATTCATTAAAAACTAATGTCTTTGATTCCATTGAGAAATCATTTTGAAAATATTTCAAATGAACTTACTGTAAACCACTAATGTTCAGTAGTGATAAAAAGCTATCTTTACGTTCACTAACTAGAAATATTGTTGTATAAAGAAATATTACATAGAAAACGAATCTAAATTAACAAAAACAAAATAAGATGAATGAAATATTTATTTTCTTTTTCATTGAAACTACTTACACATCTAATATAAGTGAAGCTGGTAAAACTTTAAGAAAACATGATGCTATACTTAATACATTCAATAAACTACCAATTGTTGGTTCTATTGTTAAATTTCCTGTTTTCTTATAAATTAATGTTGTTTGAATTGATGCACTAGTATCATTTAATACATATTTATAGAATATATTTGATGCAATTGAAATAATTTCATAACCTGATATTAAATTTGATGATAAAGTTTGTATTTTATATGTATTTCCTTGTGGTGCAGGTACTTGAAAACCAAGATAAATATCAGTATAAGTGTATGGACGATTTATACGCTTTTCTAGAATAAAGTATTTAATATTTATTTTGATGTTTTTCTTCATAAAATTTCAACTTACGCCAAATATATTTATTCATTTCAGTAATATTTTCTGATCTTTGTTCGAGTATTAAATCCTTCGATTTTGATCCAATAGCTGCTTGAAAATAATTTTCGATAATTGGATCAACGTTATATAGAATAGTTTGTGGATTAAGTAAATTGGTTTCCATTTTAAAAGTATCACTTGCATTTTTACTTCGAGAAATTATATTTGATAAGAGATTATAAACAATTGGCAATAATAAAATAAAAAGTGTCAATCCCCAACGACGATAACGCACAAGTAATGTTTTAATAATTAAACCATGAAGTTGACTTAAATAATAACGCCAACCATGAAAAAATTGTCTTTCATTGAAAACATAACGGCATTGTTCATCTGACAAGAAAGAAAAAAAGATCCTTGTTTTGGGTTTCGCAATTATTGAGGAGATATGTCGAAATTAATTATTATAAAGTTAACAAACGGATCGTAAGTGAATATATTGGATTCAAAATACCTAGAAGAACACCCTACTCTTAGTATGCAATATGGACTTTTGGATACTTCAATATCTCAGTGTACTTTTGGATGTTCTAGTACCGCTGTTCAAAACATTTCTAATATCTTGCATAATGCATTGATCGATTATCATAACGTCTTTACAAAATAGTTATTGCATTATTTGTTCGATGAGCTTGATCTCTTTTAACAACATGGAGAAACTTCTTACTTAGAAAAGAATTGCTTATCTCTTGCCTGATGCAAAATCTCATGTTGACAAATACACTTGACAAGTTCAACTAAAGGCCGTGCTAGATGTTCTCAATTGATTTTAAAACTTACCGTTCTCGTATTTATCAAAAGTAAACTCTTTGCAACTTTAGCAGATTCGTATACCTATTTAGTACTAAATCATTACACTCGTTTACCTCTGTAACTTTTACTATGTATAGCAAGCTATAATACCACTACCACGTGCTGTTTTATCACTTTTCGAATAAGTTTAGATTCATAAATTGATCAATGGTGAAAGATTATCCAGCAACGAGACGGTAATCACCGTAAGAAAATGTATTATAGTGATGACATTCATGCAAACGTTATTCGAACAATTGTAGCAGAGCAAACAGCTAAAGAATTATGCGATTTACGAAGTGTAATTCTTCAAGATAAACAAGACCATGAATGATGAGTGCAGGTTGGCATTGAATGCTGTTACACGTGTTTTTATTGATTGAGTTAGATTTAAAAATGTGAATAAAGAAGATCGAAAAAGTTAATATAATAGTACATAATAGTTTTGTTACAGTTTTTCAATGTTAGTAAGAGCCATAGACGTGAAACTTTGTAGTTATCTGGTGCCAAGTAGGTATATTAAGCTATCAAGATTGCAAAGAGTTTGCTGTTTTGAATGCGAGAATGATGAATTTTACAAGTTTCAGAACTTCTGAAACACCTCTTATATATGTTTCATTATTACAAATAGAGTCTAATTAAAAACAAGTTAAGTTATTACAGACCTATGTGTTCAATATTAACTGATGTTGTTCCAGAATCATTTTCATCTTTTGTTTCTTTTGTAATTTTCAAAAATACATCATCCATTGTACTATTTTGTACACCATAGTTTTTTATACGATTTTGAACTTTCATCACATCAAGTTGACGTAATGCTTGAACAAATTGATTATTTGGTTGTTGATTTGTACGAAAAACAACATCACCATTTGGAATATCACTTTCAATAGTTAGTTTAGGTAAATAAATACGTAATTCATTTTCAATGTCATTTGTATCATAATTATTTTGTTTATTTATAATTAGTTTATAACCTTAAAAATTCTAATTTATTAAAAAACAAAACAAAAATAATTAACATAGAAAATCTTACCAGATCCATATTGTTCTTTTAGTTTTGCTGATGTTCCATCTGCTTGAATAACACCATTTGAAATAATCATAATACGATCAGATAAAGCATCACTTTCTTCCATAAAATGTGTTGTTAATAGAAGAGTTTTTCCTTCTTTCATTGTACGTAACCAATCCCATAATAAACGACGATTAGATGGATCAAGTCCACTTGATGGCTAAAGAAAATCTTTTTTTTTTGTTTTTATTCTTAAATAAGATAGAAAATAAATGAATTACTTCATCAAGTAAGATAATTTTTGTATTACCAACAAAAGCACAAGCTAATGAAAGACGTCTTTTCATTCCACCAGATAATGAATTACAAAAAGAATGTTTTGAATTTTCAAGATTAACTAAATGAAGCATTTCATTTGATATTTGTTGTTTATATTTTGTAAATCCTCTAGCAGAAGCATAGAATTGTATTTGTTCTTCAATAGTTAATAAATCAAAAAGAATATCATGTTGTGGACAATAACCCATTGATTTTCTTAATATTTCAATATTATTTCTTGTATCATAATCAATACCATTTTCATTTTCAATTGTAATTGTACCTGATGTTTGTTTATATATTCCAATTAAACAATTAAATATAGTTGTTTTACCAGAACCATTTGGTCCAAGTAATGATGTTATTTGATTTTCATATAAATCAAATGAAACTTCATTGACTGCTATTTTATCTGGACCAAATTTTTTAACCAAACGATCAACATGAATAACAGGTGCACCAATTGAATTTGTTCGTGCAAGCGATGCAGCAGGTCTTGTAAGTGTAGCTGCATGATTATCAAATGCATATATTTGAGTTTTAGTCGTTTCTTTATGCCAGTAGTCTCGTTTGAATAGGAAATTCCAATCCTGGGGAATACCATATTCACCTACAGTTTACAATGAAAAAAGAGAATAATCCTTTGCATTAGATGGAACACAAATGAGTGTCATATATAAACAATTTTTTTTGTTAAATGTACTCATATCATCAAGAGATTATTTTTCTGATTGGACAAAATTGTTTTTTTTTAATCATTTATATATTTGTGAAACTCACATATATTTTGAATGAAAATATTAAGTATCAGTTTAAATTGAACTTTTTGCGACTTCCCTCCCCCGTAGTTGCTAACGATCGGATATGAAGGAAGGAAAGCCAATAATCATTGGGTACGATTGTCGAACAACAAGCAAAGATGCGTCACTAATAATAATGTTCAGATTTTCCTGGAACTGCCTAGAATCTTCCAAGTCATTTTATGAATTTAGGATCTCTATTATTGATTCTGATTAAGGCAAATATTGCAGATGGTGATGTTTAATGCAGCGAAAGGATCGTATTTGAGATGTCAATCACTCAAGCTCTAGTATTCTTGACCTACCACAGTCAGAATAGGACGGATGTAGAAAAGTACGAATTAATTGAATGCTAATTACAGACAACGCTCAACACTACATGATAAAGTTCGTCAAGGGAAAAGATACTGTACTCGAAAACGTACTAAACGATAAAATCCATATATATAACAGGCTAATATAGTAGTTGAACTGACGAAAGGAAAAATAAAATAATATTTGATGTTTACTAATATATTTATCGCATATATGTTATGAGGAGAAAAGAAGTTATGTATTGAAGATTTATTTGACAATATAAATAACGTTTTTTGGTAGAATGATGCTACATGAATTTAATAAATTAGTAATTCTAAATATGAACATTTTTGATATGATGAAATTTAAGAAGGCGCATATCAATTATGAATATCGTTATAATTTTAATTTATTCATTTATTTGGCAATTTTTAAAATAAATTATTTTAATCCGTCTAACAATATACCATAAACTTATAACAGTCAGAGTTTATGAGTTCTACACTTTCGTCTCACATGAGGCCACACTGATAATTTTTTCTAGTTATTTACCTGGAAAGACTTTTTCCAAATACCATGATAATGTCCAATAAAAAACGCAACTAAGAAGCATAACAATCAATGTCGAAAAATACATCGGTACATTACGATAAATAGTTCGAAATATTTCTACATCTTTCTTTGCTAAATCATACAATACAGCTTGCTATTAACAACAAATCAAAACAATAGCTCATAGAAAACATTATATGATTAGTTACTTACTTGAAAAAGTGAATGTCCACCAATATAAGGACAAAAAAACATCAAGACATATTGTATACCTGGTGGCCAAAAAATAGTAAATGAAGAGATATTATAGACCACATAATAAAAAACAATTGTAAATATAATGGCACGCACATTAGAATTAAATAATTGTGCATTCATGATACAGAATGATATCAATTGTAAACCATATATAATATTACCAAAAAAAAAGAGTACCAAAATTAACTGTATTGAAATAAGCATTGGAATTTAGTTTGATTTTAAACACAATAGATAAAAGTAGAACTAAAATCAATAGAATAACCATTGTTCTAAAAATAAACAACATATTGTTGTTTGAACAAATAGAATTTATTTTTCGTTGTAGTGTTTGTTTACCGAATTCCTTGTGCAAGATTATTAAGAATAGGTTCGATACCAAGTACTTTAAGAATTTCTTTCACTTTTGCATTTTTTTCTCGAATCAAACTTATTAAAAGAATTAAATATCTACGAATAAAGATGCAAATAGTTTTATCTAGTTAGAATTCTTATGCTTACGGAACAATGAATACAGCATCAATCATTAATAGAATTATGTTAATCAAATTTGATTCTGATGCTACAAGTAAAATAATCAATTGGATATTAATAGATGTATTCGCTTTTTGTGATCTTACTAAAAAGTAAATCATTGCGAAATGGTGTACAAGTCATAAGATTTCGTTGAAGTTCAAAGTGAATTTGACGATTTGTTTGATATTCCATAAGTAATGAATCAACAAACATTTTGACATCAGTAAATTCTGGTAATTCTGATCCTTTATTACCATTATTATCTGTTATATTCGAACGATCAGAAATATAACCTAAGCATTTGAAATGATGATGTTTGCTAGAAAACAAAGGATTCTTGTTAATTTACCTGGATGTTGAGATGTTATGAATGACATATCAACAGGATCATTGTTTAAAACTCTGTTTGGCGTTCGAACAATAATGTTGTCTAAAAGAAGACAAAAACCAATAATCATTTCATTAATTTCAATGGACAGTTAAAATTGACTATTAAATGTCTAATGTTTACTAAATGTTTCAGCAACTTTTTCATCCAAATAAAATCATAATCGATTTGATTGAATTTTTTCTCGGCTTCTTCGTTTGAAAGAGAAAAATAGATTTTTGAAAATTCTCATTAAAATGTGCATTTCAATGTTCTACTTTTCATCCTATTGAGCTGTCCTTCCTCTATATATGATATAGAGTGATTAGACGATCATAATTAAAAAGCATTTCATAGACAATTTAACTTACAAGCAAGATTGTGTTCTTTTTTTAGATCAAATGTTGCACTGAAATCCACTATAACTGTATTTACAGTTTTATTTTGCAATAAATCTGTATCAGTTTCATCATTTGGATTTTGACTCCTTTAACATATATGTATAGAATGATGTTGACCACAACTTCTTCTTTTCTATTTTATTATTCACATAAACTTACCAAATGTTTGTATTATCACATTTTAGTGTAGCTAGACGTATTGTAGCACGTTGAACAAGTTCGTTTACATCAATTCGGGCCGGTTCAAAGACAATATTTGTTTTATTGGATATAACATCTAGGCTATGTGAATTCCAACGACCACGGGTATAACTCGGTGGAAATTTAAAACAATTAGTAAATATATCGTTTGATGAAGTTGGTTGAATATTGATATCTTGTGAACATGAATGTCGACTGAAAAGTCCGGGTAAACTTCTATCATTATTTTGTTTTTCGGCTAGTCGATTGGTTCCATATCGAGTCAGAGCTAGTAATAGTATTATAATAATTGGAAATAGAAGTTCAAAAAGTATTGTTGGACAACATTTACAACATCTTTGTCGATATGAATAACGAACTGAACGTTGAAGTAATAAACTAAGTTTTCGTGATGAACTAACAGGTTCATATTCAGCTTCGATTAATTTCTGTCGACTTGTCTCAGATTGTGACATTAGATTTAATTTATTTGTATTAGTACTGATATTCCTATTTATTAGATAGTTTAAAATATAACACTTGGCGCTAAGATGTTATAAATCCGGATATTTTTGTATATCTCGAGAACGAAAGCAACTAGAAAGTGGCCAACTCAACTATTCAAGATGTGTATATCTGAGAGTCTTAGTGTAGATTTTGGCCAAGAACTTCCGACGAAAATTGCTGATTGAACTATGAGTTTCAATTTAACCAATCAATAGAAAGGCATTTCCATGTCGATATATGAAAGGCTGCTTTTTCTGACTATTTCTATTCCGAAGTTAGGAACATTTTATTGGAATCCGTGAAATGAGTCTACTAACTACTGATCACTCTATATTGTACTGAGTTTGAAATATTCGGCAAAGTTAAGTGCTTTTAACATTAGAAAAGGATATTTTCTAGATCTTATCCTTTCAACATCAACTTGATTCAAAACTAAAAGTCAACACCATTATCTGATTCAGCTTAGGCAATTATACGAAACTAAGTGTAATTTAGAGTGATCAATGCTTAATCTATTCACTTCAAAGCTTCGAAAAGATAAGATTTTTAATTTAAAAGTGTGGATGCGGGTGTCGGTATGTCTATTATTCACCCACATCCATATTTTGTAACATTTTTCGATTAAGTTCTTTTTTCTTCTGTTTGATTCTTCGAGCTAATGCATTCAAATGTTTTGTCTCCTAATTATTTTCATATACGTTTCCTTTGCGCAAAGCCCGCATAGTTTCAACTGGACGAGACTGAGGCACATTTGGAGGATTATTGTGACGCCGAACGAGCTTTGGTTCAATCTTTTTCTTCTTTTAAGACTTGATGTTTGGAGAAGTTGAAGCTGGACTCACATAATTAAAAAGCGATCACCCTTGACGTTATCTCTCGCTAATTTCAAGTATTTTTCTTCATCTCAAATCATGCCACAATCATTCAACAATTTGTTATACAATTTTCACAAGTTCTTCTCGCTAGCTTTTCTTGATTTTCATTATTCATTGGCGTATCTCTTCAACGTTTTCTAACAAGAATAGATGTTCTTCTTTGAACATTACGTGAAATAATTGACTGGTGGGTTTGAAAATATTGTACTATTTTACGTTGGCTAAGGTCATATTAATTGTTTATACATTTAACGATGCTTTTCAAAGTTTTGTTGGATCATTTCACAATACGAGTTTACTGTAGTTTTTACAGAATGATTAGAAGAATTATGATAAGAGTTGCAAATACGTAATGCGAGTGTTTCTCTTTCGTCATATGTCATTTTTTTAATGAATGGACAGTAACAATCAGTCGTATGTCATTCAAAAGAGAAACGAGTGGACCATGAGATGATCACAAAATATTTCGTCAAACACATGTCTATCCGCCAAAAAAAGAGCTTAACATGTTTGCCTCGACTTCTGCATCGCATGTTACTAAGAATATTCCTTTTATATCTACACTGTATTTCAAATGTATCTAAGCATTTACATCGTATCGTCACCTTATCCTATATTCTCTTTGTATTCTATACACTCGTATTTGCTATCTCCTCTTTTATATACTTTTATAGCTTCATGTTAGCAAGTGAAACAATTAAGCAACATAGTGATGCACTTTTATTTATTCATAAACGATTGTAAATTCATGTCTTAAGATTTGTTTTCATTAGGATTTGAAAATACTTTTCTATTAGACTAATTGTCAAGACGAAGTTGACATTCAGCGTCATAGTTCTGGTTCGAAAAATAGTCGGTGCACAAGTCTTGTCGGCGAATATCCCATGCAGCTGTGTATACATATATTCTCAGTTTTCTGATGGAATTCTTACCGAAGAAAGTTCTAGAGTGTTTTTATTCTTGATTCAGCATTCCATCTTTGTCTATGATGAGCAATTTCGAAGAAGTAGTAATCGTTTGGTTGCGATCAAGTGATATGGCTGAAGTTGATGATCATGCATCCATCAATTCACTTAAATTGGTGGCGAGCAACGTTCCAATATTTAATGATGCTGACGATTTTGTTCAGTATATTTTATCCATTCAAGATGAAATAATCTTTGTCAGAATCGATTACGGTCGATTCTATCTCGTTCCTATTCTTAACGATTTTAACAATATCAGATATATGTATTTGAGCGAATCGCAAGAATTTTCCCCTTCGAAAGTTTGAGGAGTTTTTATTAATTTTGTGCGACTTCTTGATCAACTTTTATGGACTGTAAAACTAATCAAAAATACATACAGTCACTTGAATGTATATGATGATACGATGTTAGAAACAGAAACATCTACAAAAGATGTTGAAAATTTAAAACTACGCTTCATGTGGTCACAAATATTACTTGAAACACTTCTTCGTATGCCATCACCACCAATCAATAAACATAAAGATCTGTTAGACGAGTCTTGTCGATTGTATGATAAGAATCAAACTGTATAATTAGCACGATTGATGAATTTGAACAGAATTATCGATGTACTGATGCTATTACATGGTATACACTTGATTCATTTTTATATCGTCTAGTAAATAGAGCATTACGTACTCAAAATATTATCGTTTTTTTCAAATTTCGTTTTATCATTCAAGATATTTATAAACAGCTTAAAGATTTGCAACACGAACAAAAACAACAGTCAAATCAATTGATAGGAATAACTGGCATGTTTTATATTACAAAATCATTAAACGTTATGTATTGCAGATACAAACAGCTCAGGATTATCCCGAGTGGGTGACTTGGAGCTGACTCTTCCCCTGCCCACCGCCAATGTTCGAAAATTTTCGTTTTTGCCTATCAGAACTGAGCAATTTGTTTTGCTCCTCAACATTGGCAATAACAGACCATTCTCTCGGTTTTGGTGGCTTCGGGAAAATTCTGAATCAGCTGATTGAATAAAGATTTTGACAAGAGATATTCCAGAGAAACTCAGAACGCGATTATGATGAAGAGATCTGAATGTATGTGACAATATTTTAAAAACTTAGTGCTATTGTTTAGGATAAAAATTAATTTTGAGGAACACAACTGAAAATGAGTGTTGAAGTTTTAGAGCGAGAAATTTGATCCCCTCCCTTCCTCTCCTTTCGAAGACCGTGACAGGCATGTCGCTGTTCTAGTGATCCCGTCACAGACTGTGAAAGACATGTTAGAAAAGCCAACTGAGGTGTTTCAGACTGTAAGTGACGTGCCAAAATGTCTGTCACGATCTTTGATAGTGGAACGAATTTTCGATATCTGCGTCTTTGTCTCGAATGGACTGAAGTAGAAATAAGCGAAGTCTCCATTTCAGCTAAAACACCTCCATCGTTTTTTACATTTTAATCCTGAAGGGACTGCGCTTCAAACTTTTTCAGATTATGTAGAGTAGTGAAACAAAGAAAAAGAAGTTATACTCAGGGCTACCAAACACAAGTTTAAAAAAAACAGGAGTTTCTCGGCATAAAACCAGTAGTTGACCAGGAGACTACCAAAAAACCAGTAGGAAAAACCAGTAGATCTTTATGGAACTGAAGTCACTATTTGGCTGAATTGTCTCGAAAGAAACTGAAATTTTTGTTCAGATACTTAACTGTTTCTTTCCCCTACCAATTCAGTGATGACAAGATTATACTCTAAGCGACACATAAGGACGAGAAAGAAAGATAATATGTAGTTTCGCAAAAATAAATAAGCTGACGGATTTGACAACCATTCTTTTGTAATTTTCACAAATACAGTTTAGTTACTTTCACGCATAACTATGGAGCAGTTTTTCATTTGAACTTTTTTCAGTGAAATAGAACCTCATGCAATGCATACATTCGATAAATATACAGTCAGGTGTTTCTTTTTATTAACAGTTACACAAATGTTTACAATAAGATTTTTTTATGAAATTGATCATCTCACTTTTAGAGAGCTCAAGACGAAACAACGTGTTTTCTTATCTGTTATTGCATCTATGAAATACTGTGATAGTTGTTTGTTGTTGCTTTATTAACTGATTCAAGGTGTCACTAAAATCCAAAGTGACCAAATTCCTAAAAACAAGGAAAAATCAGGAGAAAATGTAAAAAAATCAGCTCCTGGTTCCAGAAGATTTTTTCACTAGGAGACAAGTCTGAAAACCAGCAGTCTCCTGGCTAAATTAGGAGATTTGGTAGCCGTGATCATACTATATCTGCTATAAGCGGTCTAATTTCGTGTCAACATTGTGGATAAGCATGAGTTCTTTAATTTAACCAAAGATTAGGGCTTCATTTAAACAATCTTTTATCACTTCTCAAGTATAGCGAGCATAAGAAGTGTTTTTGTCTTTTGTTAAAGTTATTATCACCAATCAAGATGCATAAAATATTAGGGGATAGTAAATTTTATTATTTTCAATCAAATGAAAGCATTATTTACGTTTTTCATTCAGATAAAATTAATCCCCCACCTCATCAGAAAAAATGATGACCTATCGTGGCCAATTGATTTCGCCGACTGAATTTAATATTCTACAGCAAAGTATTGGTACACTGGTCTCTATGAACACATTCTTGTCGACAATAACGGATCGTGACACTTCTATTGTGTTTTCTGGTGAAGGTGGTCAATGTCCATTTTTGGAATCTATTATGTATGAAGTTTCTATGGATTCTAATGATCATCTTGTAGACTTCTCACCATTTGCGGATATCAGCCATCTTAGTTACTTACCGCCTGAGAATGAGATACTCTTGTCAATGGGAACTGTAATGCGAATTCAATCAGTGACAGTAGGTACTGTCGAGAATAATTACATAAACTGTATTCGTTTGTGTATGTGTCAATACAATGATCCTTCTTTGCAGAAATTAAAAACTTTTATCTCTGATGAAATTTTGTCATGAGACGGAAGTGAAGCATTCTATCTTTATCAAATTGGATGTATGCTTAGCGCCATCGGTGAACAAGAGAAAGCCGAACAAACATTTCAAATAGCAAACTTAGATGAAACTACTTTGGGCAAAATGATGCCATTGC